CAGTGGCACAATCATAGCACGCTATAACCCCAAACTCCTGGGCTCAAGTGATCCTCTTCCCTCACCCTCCCAGTAGCTGGGACTACCGGCGCACACCACCAGGCCTATTATGAAATCTTTGGATTGGAGTCCTCTATTATGCTTGCAGCAAGTTTAAAACAAAATTTTGAGTCATGCTTGTAGTCAATTTATACAAAAAGTTGTGTGTGTGTGTGTTTTTAATACCACGATCTCCTGGTTTTCTTCCTCCTTTATTTGCTGCCTCTTCTCAGTCTTCTTTGCTGAGACTCCCTCTTCTTCCTGACCTCTGAATATGGAGCACCCAGGGCTCTACTCCATGTTTACTCCAATCCCTAGATGCTCTCATTGGCTCCGTGGCTTAACTACTATCCATGTGCTTTTAACTCCCAAATTCACCTCTGTAGCCCTGATCTCTCCCCTGAAATCCAGACTCATGCTTTCAGCTGCTCAGACTACATTAGACCTGCACTTGGTGCCTAATAGACATCTCACATTTAACCTTTCCAGAGCCAATCCCTGGATTGCTTCCTCCAAAAACTTACTTCTCCAACAGCACTCTTTATTTCAGTAATTTATGACCATCTTTCATCCCATTGTTCAGATCAAAACCTTGGAGTCATCTGACTCCTGTGTTTATTTCATATCCCATACCTAATTCATCAGCTCTACTTCCAAAATAACATCTCACCAGGCCAAGCCACCACCCTCTCTTGCTTGGATATTGCAACAGCCTCCTAATTGACCCGCTCTTCTTCTGCCCTCGGCTCTTTGTAGACTCCACTCCAATTAGTGGCCAGTATTCTGTATAAAGCTTAGATTGTGGCCTCAGCTCAGAACCCTCCAATTGCTTCCTGTCTCCCTCAGAGTAAAGTTCACCGTCCTTATTGTGGCTTTCAAGGCCTTACTTGATCTGGCCCCAGTAACTTTCGATCTCATCCCCTAACACTCAGCCCTTGCTCACTCTGCACCAGGCACCTTGGTCTCCTTGCTGGTCCTCAAGTACACCTGTTCTCTTTTCTCAAAATTTTCCACCACAAATATTCATAGAGCTTGCTCCTTACTTCATTGAGTTCTTTGTTCAAGTCATTTTGGCTACAATGCGTGCACGCGCGCGCACACACACACACACACACACAAGCACACTTGCAGAAACTTGGTACGTTTTGTTCATGCTGGTTTTCCAGAACCTAGAACAGCGTCTGGCATATAGGGTGCACTTAATAAATATTTGTTGAATGGAAGAATGAATGAATATACTACCTTTTTTTTAGCCGAGCTCTATTAATAGACATTTAGGTTGGTTAACCTTTTTCACTGTTATAAATATAATACTGTAACAAGGATTCTTTTAAATCTGTTTTTGCCTGCATCTCCAATTGTTTCCTTAGACTAGATTCCTAATTACTGTATTTTGGGCCAATGAATGTGAATATTTAAAACATCTTTTGCCTAATTTGTAAGATACTTTCCAGAAAGTTTGTACAAGTTTATACCCCTATTATGAGCATACCCATATTATAATACTAACACTACAATTGAATATTAACATAAAATAATTTTTATAATTTTATAGGTGATAAATTATAATGATCTTTTAATTTCAATTACTCTTTAAGTTGCTTCTGAAATTAAATATTGGGCTGGGCATGGCAGATCACAACTGCAATCCTAGCACTTTGGGAGGCTGATGAGGGAGGATCGCTTGAGCCCAGGAGTTCAAGGCTGCAGTGAGATTTGATTGTGCCACTGCACTCCAGCCTGGGTCACAGAGGGAGACCCTGTCTCTAATAAACAGAACAAAATGAGAAAACATACAAAAAACACCATGGTGAGATGTCACATCATACTCACTAGGATGGCTATAATAAAATAAAATAAAAAAGGAAAATATTTAATAACAAGTATTGGTGAGTATATGGAGAAATTCAAACTCTCATACATTGCTCCTGGGAATGTGAGATGGTTCAGCCACTGTGAAAAACAGTTGGGCAGTTCCTCGAAATGTTAAATATACAGTTGCCATGTGACCCAGCAAGTCCACTCAAGAGAACTGAAAACACATGTTCACGCAAAAACTTGTACACGAATGTTCATTGCAGCATTATTCATAATAGCCAGAAAGTGAAAACAAATGTCCATCAACTAATGAATGGATAAAACAAAATATGTGTGGTATATACATACAATGGAATGTTATTCAGACATAAAAAGGAGCGAAGTACTGATATATGCTACAACATGAATGAACCTCGAAAACATTATGCTAAATGAAAGAAGCCTGGCACAAAAGGCCACATATTATATAGTTCTATTTACAAGAAATGTCCAGAACAACTATATCATAGAGACAGAAGGTAGATTAGTGGTTTCCAGGGTATGGCAGCATGGGAGGAGGGGTTATTTGGAGATGTGGGGTTTCTTTTCAGAGTGATGGAAATATTCTGCAAGTAGATTGATGGTGATAGTTGCACAACATTGTGAATATACTAAAAACTACTGAATTGTACATTTTAAAATAACTAAAATGGTGAATTTTAGGGTAAATGAATTTTATCTCAATAAGAAATTTTTTAAAAGAGAGAGAATGGTCTTTAAATATCAAATGATTGAGGAGCCCTGGGGAAAACTGATGAAAATTGATTTTTTGATTTTTCAAAAGTGACCCTTATACTGAGGAAGCCCAAACTGAAGTGCTAGGTATCATATTATGTTATCATATAATTTTGTGGAAAAAATTAGGTCAAAAAAATGAAAAGAAGAAGGATTTGTTCTTCTTGTTTCTAAAAATCAGCGTTTGATAGCTAGCAGTCCCCAGTTGCCAAGAGAAGACTGATTGGCTGGCCCTGCTCATCTTCTCCTGCCAAAGCTTAGCTAAGGATGAGCTGGCCTCAGGTCAGGGCCTCCCCCAGGTCTAGTCCCTGGGCCATACTGTATAGAAGATGGCCACTTAGGGATTTGGGGTGGGGCAAAAGCACCCATCAAAGCTAAAGCTCTCCCTCTCGCCTACACCCTCCCTTTCTTCCTACCTCAGTTACTGCCCACCCTGAGGGGTGTCCAGTCTCCCCCGGGGTCTCGCAGTCTCTGCTGCCTAGCTGGGACCTTTTCAGTCCTGAAGAACTTTAGGAGAACATCTTCAGTGCCCTGTTATCTCCTCTGGGGAAGTCTAAAGTTCAGGGCTCTGAGCAATTAGCTCAAGGCCTCTCAGCGGGCTAGAGAGGAATGACCCAGGGAACATGGCTGTGGAAATGGTTTGAGGAAGCTGAGTCAATGTGTCATTGCCAGGGTGGGGCCGAGGCCATTGGCCTTTTGGGGGTCAGTGACCTTGCCTTCCGTTTCCTGCCCTTCCCTATACCTTGGAAGGTAATTGGACCCCTGAGACTCCTGGAACACCACGTTGTCCTGTCCCAAGAACTGTACTCTAGCAGGAGGGCACAACTAGAGGAGGACCCTGCTTGACCCTTGGGAGATACTCTGAGGTGCTGGGGGACAGGAGTGGGGAGTCCTCCTGGTACCACATTAGCAATTGCTTCCTCAGCTTGTCGCCTACTCACCAGCCCAGCACCTCCTCTGCCTCCCCAGGACTGATGCTCTCAACCCTCTCAAAGGCCCTTTTCTCACCGTCTCAAATCTTCACCTCCCCTTCTGCCTCTCTCCACACCCCCATGGCTCTCTACCTACCCTGGTTTCTTAACCTCTCTGAACCTTAGCTTTTTTTTAATCTCTAAAATGGGAATAAGGATAGTACTACCTTACAAGAGTGGTTGTAAGGTTTTTTCTTTTCTTTCTTTCCTTCTTTCTTTCTTTCTTTCTTTCTTTCTTTCTTTCTTTCTTTCTTTCTTTCTTTCTTTCTTTCTCTCTTTCTCTCTTTCTTTCTTTCTTTCTTTCTCTCTTTCTCTCCCTCTCTCTCTCTTTCTTTCCCTCTCTCTCAATTTCTCTCTTTCTTATGTTCTTTCGTTCTTTCATTTTACCAAAGACTGCTGGCAAAGGTTGTAAGGTTTAAATGAGATAAGGAACATACTGCATTTCCCACGGCACCTGGCACACCAGACATGCTCAATAGACATCGGCTGCTGCTGTTGCTCTGATTTTTATTCTTTTATCAGTTACGCAACCAAATTCTAAGGAGCATTCAGTACATGTCCGGCCCTGAACCAGGAACGTAGGGGTATCATAGGTCAAGACATTGTATTTGGCCTCAGAGAGGTTTATATCTATTTGGAGAGAGATGAGAAACCACCAATCAATAGTTCATAAGCATGTTAATTTGTTGCGTTTTCAAAACCTGCCAAAATGCTCCACAATCTCACTCTGCCACTCTGCCTCTTAAATACAGCCTCCACTTGGCTGCATCTTCAGGCCCAGCTGTTTGGCTGGGTTAGCCGGTCATCAAGAGATGATGGATTGGGCTTTCGGAAGCCTACATGGGCCTCGTCCGACCCTTCCAGCCAGTCCTCCCTTCCTCACGCCAGCACGGCCCCAGGCACAGCCGCGGCTCAGCCCCAAGTCTCCCATCCCCAGGGCGCCTGAGCCTGAGCTCCGTCCTGCTTCTCCAGGCCTGCTGACAGAGGGCCCTGCACTGCGGAGTGAGGACTTCATCCCCACCCTGGCCCTGGGCAGCAGGAATTCTGCCGTGAGTCCAGCCTGCCCTAGAAGGCTCCTAAAAGGGGAATACAGGATGGGGGCAGGCCAGGGACAAAGGGTGGCCAAAGGCATTTGTCCAGGAGAGGTGGGAGGGGCCACACCTAGGAGGAGTCAAGAACCGGGGAATTCAGACAGCCTAGAAGATCAAATTCCTCCAGGGTGAACTCTGATACAAAGTTGGCCCCGCAAGAGGCCTGAGGAGGGAAGGAGCCAGAGGGGAAGACCCTGCCGAGCCACCCACTCTTTGCCCCATACTGCAGAGAGGCCAGCAGCACAGCAGTGCCCACACCTCCCTGCCCTGCCTGCCCTCCTTGGCCCTCGGTGCCTGACAGGATTGCTGGGGAGAAAGGAGGCGATGAATCCAGACAGGACTCAGATAATTCTTGACCCCAGGTAAGTGAGGGCGGCAGGCCCCTATCGCTCCGGCCTATCCCTGTCTCACTCCCAGAGCCCTTTGGCTCTCAGCACCCGGAATGAGACAGGACTGAGAACAGTGGGGCTGTCTCCTAGGTCCTCGGAGACAGTGCCGGTTTGGGCCAGTGTGGGACACCTCAGGGATTTGCCCCCCAATCTGGGGATAAAGAGATCCTAGAGGTGGGGCTGTGGAAAGCATTCCCAGAGGTAATGTACAGAGCCCCTGGCCAGCAGGGGACCCATTCCTTTGCTAAGGGCCACCCTTTCTCTGAGACTCTGCTCTTTCTCTCTGGTCAGCCCTGGGCTGCTGCCCGGATGAGAGTGCAGAGAATAGACTGTGGGCTCTTAGGGTACTGCAGCCAGACCTGCCCCTGGCTAGGTGGCTTACACACTAGTCTGGGCCAATTCTCCACTCCCTCTAGGAAAAGGGCCGTGAGGGGAAGTGGACAAGATGCACCCAGGAGCGTTTGAGGGAGTATCAAGAAACGGGGGTCCAAGCCAGGCGTGGTGGCTCATACCCATCTCTACTAAAAATAGAAAAAATTAGCTGGGCCTGGTGAAATATGCCTGCAGTCCCAGCTACTCAGGAGGGTGAGGCGGGAGGATCATGTGAGCCCAGAATTCAAGTAACTCTGGTCCAACGTGCCACCCTCCTACCTCCGTGGCCCATGGTTCTGAACACACGCTGGTGTCTGTCCAGGTACACAGCAGATCTTCTGGAGGTACTGAAGACCAATTACAGCATCCCCTCTGTCTGCTTCTCGTACCCTCCCACGGCAGCCCAATTCTTGAGAGGTGAGCTGGGGACCCTCTCCAGAGGAAACTGAAAGGTGGAGATGCATATCCCAGAGGGAAGTCAGGACAGCTGAGGGGAGCTGAGGAGAGGGGTCCTGAGCTGGTCAACCTGGACAGCCTGGAGGAGACTGGCCTGGTGTCCATCGTGGTTAAGGCCTTGGAGAAGAGCAAGCCCTCAAGGAGTCAGTGGGCCAAAAGGGGAGCATGACAACCTAGCCCAGGAGACAAACCTACACATTGGGCCCCCCACAAACCCCAACCTCAAAGCTCCATTCAAAGTGGAGACACTGGCCGGGTGCAGTGGCTCACACCTGTAATCCCAGCACTTTGGGAGGCTGAAGTGGGAGGATGGCTTGAGGCCAGGAGTTCAAGGCCAGCATGGGCAGCATAGCAAGACCCTGTCTCTACAAAAAATGTTTAAAAAAACATAGCTGAGCATGGTGACATGTGCCTGTTGTCCCAGCTACTCAGGAGGCTGAAGTGGGAGGATCACTTGAGTCCAGGAGTTTGAGGCTGCAGTGAGCTATAAACATGCCACTCCACTCCAGCCTGGGCAGCAGAGCGAGACCCTCTTAGAGCAAAACCAAAAACATATTGAGGACACTGTGACCTGGAGCATTTTTCAGATCCCAGGGCCAGCTAGGAACTCAAGATGGTGCCGAACTGGTCCAAGCCCTGTAGGGTCTCCTGGAGGCCTGCACAATGTTCTCCTGGGGAAAGAGACTACATCATTCTAGAGGAGGGTTATTGTGAGAGATGTGCTGGAAACGCAGGTGAACCTATAAAAGTGTTGTCACAGTGTCAGCCAAGGAGATCCTGTTACTGAATTGCTTTTGAAAGTGAAAGGCACAGAATGAGACTCAGCTTAATCCCTGGATATCAAAGATATTGAGAACCAAATGGCCCAACATTTCTGGAGAAAAAGTGGCTCACATCCACATTCTATTTAGCTTTCCTACTGCATGACTTACTGCCTCTGAGATGTTGAATGAAAGTCTATGTCTCTATAGTACATTTTTACAGTACAGTACAGTACTTTCCCCGGCCTTCTTCTTGCTGTTGTCACCTCACGGAATGGACTCTATTGGAGCAACAGGGTGCTGTCAGTGTGCATTAGGAGGCAGACATGGTCATGTCCTTGGGCTACGGACAGCTTCATTTCAGATGCTCTGAATCAGAGCAATTTCCAGCTGTCAGAGTGTTCAGAGATGCCTGCTAGTTGCTTTGTGGTTTGTGCCAGGAGGTGGATGCTACATCCATCTCCGGGAACCTCCTGTTTGGAGAGTGCAGCTGGTAGCACAAGTCTTCCCTTACACTAGTAGTTCTCAGCCCAGGGACATTTGGCAATGTCTGGAGGCAGTTTTGGTTGCCACACTGGAGGTGCTACTAGCGTCTAGTGGGTAGAGGCCAGGGAAGCTGTTAAACTCCTACAGTGCACAGGACAGCCCCCAACAACAAAAAAATTATCTGAGCCAAAGTGTCAATAGTGCTCAGGTTTAGAAATCTTGCCTTACACAGTGAAAATGGTTCTCACATTGCTTTGCTACAAAATTTGCAAATAGAAACTCTGAGGATGTTCAAAATAGGAAGACCATTCCGGGTCTGGTAGTCAAGCAAGCTGCCTTGTTGCAGGTAGAGTAGGTAGGATTTGGGGCATGGAGAGCAGGCAGAGGGCCCTCCTGGGGCGGGGATGGTGAGAGAATGAGCAGGCAGGTTTCCCAGACACTGGAGAGCTAGGTCTGGCAGGATTCAAGGCTACTGGTGGAGGAGCAGCAGACAATTGAGAGGGCTGGGCAGGTGAGGTGGGGCCTGTTGTGTGCCAGCAATTGTACTTTAACCCGCAGACAGAAAGAGCCGATGAGGGCTCTGAGATTGGGAGGGGCTGGATGAAATTAATGCTCCAGGACCATTAATCAATAATCAGGATGGACTGCGGAGGAAGCAGAGCCTTGAGAGCATGGATATAAATTAGAGGTTATTGCCCCAGTCCAGCAAGGGGGAAAAGAGTCAGAGCCAGGGCAGCGGCAGGGAAAGCAAAGGAAGGGCTGGAAAACACAGGCAATCCAAGGAAAGAGCAGGCAATCTTTAAGGATCTAGATGTGTAAGTGCAGGCTCTGCGCAATGGTGATGATACAGACAGACACAGGAGAACCAGGAAGAGGTGCCCATTGGAGGACATGGTGAAACTCCTTTCTCGCTTCATTTGTAAACTCTGTTGTTCCTTAAATTAAATGTTAAGAGAGTTATTCTGGAAGAATTATTGAATATTTCAACTTTTTAAAAAATGCCCATTGTGTGATTGAAATTATGATCCTTAAAGGATTTTTTTAAATGTACTCATCCAAACATTTATATGGAAGAGCCAAGAAAAACCAAGATGATTTTGAAAAAGTGGAAGGAGGGAAGCTGCCCTACCAGAGATTAAGTCTTATAATAAGGCTACAGTCAATAAAGCAGTGGGTTAATAATGGCAAAGGGCCTGATAAGTAGAAAACCAGAACTGAATAGAGGGCTCAGAAGTTGAGCCATGCCTACGTGGGGACTGTGCTACGTGAACGGATGCCACAAACATCAAGGGGCAGGACGGACTCTTCAAGAAGTGGGGCTGGACAATTGCCATCCCTATGGTGAATAAATACATATGAAAATAGCCCCAAAGTAGCTTTAATTCAGATAAAATACTTAAATGTAAGATGCAAACATTTTTACAAAGAAAATATCAAAAGATATCTTTATGATTGGGAAGAAAAAATAATTTCTTAAAACACAGAAAACACAAATGATCATGAAGACTGACTACTAAAGCAAACAAACTTCTGTACATCTAAAAGCACTGCAAACATTCTCCTGTGGCTGGTGTTTTGTAAAGAAAAACAAAACAAAACAAACAAATAAATAAATAAAAAATAAAAGCACTGCAAACAAAGTTAAAAGCCAAACCACAGACTGGGAGAAAATATTTTTCAAGTCTCTAACAACAAAGGATTACTAATTCGTATAAGAAAAATTAACCAATAAAAACTGGATAAAATATATGAACAGACAATTCATAGAAGAGGAAACTCAAATGGCTAACAAACACACAAAAAGATAGTAAACAGGGAATTACAAATTAAAAAATGAAATAGCATTTCACCACTATTATATTGGCAAAAATAAAAGTCTGATAATACCAAGTGTTGGTGAATTTACGGTGAAATGTGAACACTCACAGACTACTGGCAAAAGTATAAATTGCTGTAACCACTTTGGAGAGTAATTAGATATAATAACACTAATTGGAACTGAAAATATTCATCTCTTAAAACTCAGCAATTCTAACTCTAGGTACATACCTTAGATAAACTCTCCCATATGTGCCAAGGAGACAAGTCCAAGAATGCTAATTACAGCATGTTTGTCATAATAGTAAAAATCATGAAAACAATGTTGGGTAGAAAGAGCATTTTGCAGGATGATGCTTTTTTTTTTTTTTTTTTTTTGAGACAGAGTCTCACTTTGTTGCCCGGGCTAGAGTGAGTGCCATGGCGTCAGCCTAGCTCACAGCAACCTCAAACTCCTGGGCTCAAGCAATCCTTCTGCCTCAGCCTCCCGAGTAGCTGGGACTACAGGCATGTGCCACCATGCCCAGCTAATTTTTTCTATATATTTTTAGTTGTCCAATTAATCTATTTTTTTTTTTAGTAGAGACGGGGTCTCGCTCTTGCTCAGGCTGGTCTCGAACTCCTGACCTTGAGCGATCCACCCGCCTCGGCCTCCCAGAGTGCTAGGATTACAGGCGTGAGCCACTGCGCCCGGCCCAGGATGATGCTATTAATATAGATTTTTAAAAAATGCAAAGCAATACTATATGTTGCCTATATACATATGCCATCAAAAAATTGAAACAGGAATGGGAAAGGTATTTACCAACTAATAGTTATCCCTGGTGGATGGGGTAGGGAAGAGAAAATGATCTGGGAGGTATACACTGCAGGCTTCAAATATGTCTTTAAGGTTTTATTCTTTTTTTTTAATTTATTCAGAATATTATGGGGGTACAAACATTTTGATGTAATGTTTTATTCTTATAAAAAATAACTCTTAAAGCAAAATTGGCAATATCTTACTCATTAAAATAGGTTATGGGTTTATTAATGCTTGCTCTATTGTTCTCTATTTTTAAAGTATTTTGTAATTTTAAAAATAATTATAAAAATCGTTTTTGAAAGGCTGTGATGAAATGTTAGATGAAAAAAAAAGAATACAAACTTTTCGTTTTTCTTTTGTTTGTGTGGAGACTGGATCTTGCTATGTTGCCCAAGCTGGTCTCAAACTCCTGGTCTCAAGCGATCCTCTTGCCTTGGCCTCCCAAAGTGCTGGGATTACAGGCATTAGCCACTGTGCCTGACCAAAATTTTATATATAGTACAGTTGATGTAATGCAACATGTATGTACTTTAACTAGGATTTTTTTAAAAGCTTTTTATTGAGCAAATGCTACATGCCAAGTGCTGTGCTAAGACATTTAAGGAGAAGACAAGTAACCTGTTCTAGGTTATAGAAGCAAGCAGTAAGTGGCACTTACTTTGAACTCAAATATCTCTGACTCCAAAGCCTATACTGTACTCTTAACCTCCAGGAAGCAAATATGGAAAAATGGAAATAATTTTTGGTTAGGAAGCTAGGATTATAGATGATTACTCTTTTTTCAAAATTTTATTTAATGTTATTTTTATTATTTTAAAAAGTAATCTTCATTATTCCAGAGGCAGTGGGAAACTCGATAGTTGCTGTAGGTATAATTATATTCAAACTGGTCAGTTAGACCAGCATTTCCCAAAGTGTCTTCCTTGGAATATTAATCTCAAGAAGTGCTTCATGCAAACAGAGCGCTATAGAAAACTAAGTTTTGCAAAAGGTACATTCTATAACCTTCTTTTGGAAATTAACTTTGTAAATTAGCAGATTAAAATCTTCAGTAAAGAAACATGTTTAACTTTGTTTAATGCGTTTCCAAAAATCCTTTAGCCATAGAACACTTTTGTCCTATAATATCCATTAAGATGCACTTTGGGGCCAGGCACAGTGGCTCAGGCCTGTAATCCTAGCACTTTGGGAAAATTATAAGAAAATACATGCAGGATAACCTGTAAGAAAAAATAAAAAGAAACTACAAAAGCATTTCTGTGGTTGAACAGTCAGAATGTGCTCCACCCTCATCTTTATAAACGTAAAAGGCCTTTTTGGGTTATATCTGATTGTCCCTTTCATATCTATGAGAACAGACACCAGAAGTCAGTATGTGTAATGAGTAAGCACATAGGCTTAGAGTCAAGAACCCTGGGTTTAATTAAATCCCAGCTCCTTCACTTCCAGCCTGTGTGACCAATGGGCAAGGTGCTTAGCTCTCTAAGCCTAGTTTCCCAAAAAAGCCTGCAAAATGGGGATGATAATGTTCCAGACACATGGAGACAGAACAGAGCCAGAGCCTGACAAAGTCCCTCCCACGAAGGAGCTCACATTACCGCGCGGGGCAGACCACGAGCAAGTAAACAACTGTGTAAATAACCTCGCTGTGATGGGCCGGCAGAGGGGACACCGTCTCCCGGGCAGTCTGGGAAGGCTGTCTGGGCAGGGAGCATGTGAGGAGAGAGCTCAGTGATGTGGAACCAGGCACACGGAGCTCCAGAGGGAAAGCCTAACAAGGCAGGGGCCAAGCATAAAGTCCTTGCGGCGGGAACAGCTCAGCAAGGTTACCGGGAGGATGGAGCGGCAGGGAAATCCCAAGCCCCCTCACACAGCGCGGAGCCGCAGTGATTCAGTCTGGAGAACGCAGGCTGTGGGAGAGCAATCAGTGGAGACCTGGGGTTCAGAGGCAGAAGGGGAACCAGGCAGAGCGTGGTTCTGGGAGTCAAGGGAAGGGAGATATTCAAGGAGGAGAAAGCAGACAGAGAAAGTGAAGACGGGGAAAGGCTTTGGCCTCATGGCTTGTGAAAGGGCAGTTTCTGCCCTCAGTGAGCTGATGAGGCCGAGAGTGCGAGTGGGGGTTTGAGAGGCCTCCAGCAGTGACTTCCTGTTCCAACAAGGGTTATTGGCTTTTGGAAACCTACTCAATTAATTTTGGCTTTTTCCTATCTGGACTTTGCCTATAGTGTGTATTTTGTTTTTACTAAATATTTCTATTATATAAATAATTCAGGGTCAGTAACTATGCAAATACAGAGAAAAGTAAAAAGAGAAAAAGTCATCTATAGTCCCACCTAGAGACAGGCACTGCAAATATCTTAGTGTAATTTCCTTTTTCTATGCTTTAACATTTGTAGAAATCATTCTATGCCTACAATTTTTATGTTGTGTTTTTATAAGTGTGACATCATATGAATTTTTCACATTATTATGTATTTGGTGAAATGTTTTCTTTTAAAAAGTTTTTTGTTATAAAATACATATTTATTATAGAATAATTGGAAAAGATAGGAAAAAACTATGGTAGAAAAGTAAGACAAAGATTACCTACTGTCCCATCACCCAAACATAAGCATTGCTAATGTGTTTTTAGTATTGTAGGTATTTTTCTATGCAATGATTTTTTTTCTTTTTCTTTTTTGTTTTTTAGAAATAGGGTCTCACTCTGTCTCCCAGGCTAGAGTACAGTGGCACAATGATAGCTCACTGTAACCTTGAACTCCTGGGCTCAAGCGATCCTCCCGCCTCAGCCTCAGGGGTAGCTGGGACTATAGGTGTGTGCCACCAGGCCCGGTTAATTTTTTTTAAAGAGATGGGGTCTTGCTATGTTGCCCAGGCTGGTCTTGACCTCCTTGTGTCAAGCAATCCTCCCATCTCAGCCTCCTGAATCACTGGGATTACAGGCAAGAGCCACTGCACCTGGCCTGCAATGATTTTTTAATGTTTTTATTTTATCAAACTATAATACACGAACATGGTTGAAGAATCATACAGCACAAAAGGGCTACTAACGAAAATCAACCATCCCCTTCCCTATCCATTCTAATTTCTAATCTTCTTCCTCACAGATAACTGTTTTTAACTCTTCCAGCCGATGTTTCTTCTGATAATTACCACTTGATCTTAGCCAAAAGGCTGAGAAGTGATTAATTACCTTCAAATCACCAATATTTGTATCCCGTCATTTTCTGGGGTATCAATTTTGGACATTATCTGTGGCTGCCTCTGTGATACATGAGGATTCAGCACACTTAGCACCAATCTGCTCCCATTTTCTCCATATAAATATATCAATATTTTGACTTGATTATCTTTATATCTTTATATATCTATAGTTTATTTCTTATTCTGTCAACTATGGACAGTATTCTTGATTTTCCATTTTGTAGGATAAAGATATTAGTCTCCTCTTTCCTTCAGTTCTTTTCTAACCCTTCTCCCCAATCGAATCTTTTCAACATAGTTGTAATTTTACTGTATGTGCTAATTTTGCATTCTGCTTCGTTCACATAAGTTCTTTTTCATGTATAACTTACATACAATAAAGGGCAAAAATCTTAAGTGTATAGTTTGATGAATTTTTACATATGAAAATTTGTAAAACCACCACCCACATCAAGATGTAGAACAATTTAACATCCATCAGGGTCTCTTATACTTCCTCCAGTTAATATTCCTCCAAAGACTGCTGTTCTAACTCCTATCACCTCTATAGATCAATTTTCCCTGCTCTTCAACTTCACATAAATATAATCAAACTGTCTGTACTCTGGCTCCCTTCACTTATCATTAATGTTTTTAAGGTTAATCTGTTTTGTCGCACGTATCAATGTGGTTCCTTCTTTTTTATTGCTGTGTAATATTCCATTGTGGGAAAATATCCATTTATTTATCTGTATTTTTGTTGAAGAACATGTAGGCTGTTTCCAGTTTTGGCCATTATGAATAATGCTGCTCTGATTTTTTTTTTTGTAATTATAAGTTCTCATTTCTATTGAATATGTACCCAGGAGTGGAATTGCTGGGTCTTTGGGTAGGTTTATGTTTAGCTTTAGTAGATACTACCAAACTGTTTCCCAAAGTGATTGTACTAATTTATATTCCCAACAATAAGAGTTCCAACTGCCCCTTATCCTCACTAGCACTTGGAATTGTCAGTCCTTTTCATGTTAGCTCTTCTGGTGGGTATGTAGTGGCATCTCACTGTGGTTCTACTTTGTATTTCCCTGATGACTGGTGATATTTAGCATCTTTTCATGCTTCTTGGACATCTGGATCTCTTGTTTTGTAAAGTAACTGTTTAGGTCTTTTTTCATTTTTAAAAATTATGTTATCTTTTTCTTACTAATAGGAATTCTTTATATATTATGGATATGAGTCTTTTATTGGATATATGTACTACAAATATCTTCTCCCAGTTGGAAGTTTGCCTTTTCATTCTCTTAATGGTTTCTTTTGATGAATGGAAATTCTTAATTTTAAGGAAGCCAAATTTATCAAATTTTTCCTTTATGAATAGTGCTTTTGTGTCCTATTTTTTAAAATCTTTGCCTACTTCAAAGTCATGAAGATATTCTTCTCTGTTTTCATCTAAAAACTTTGTTTTAATTTAGGTGTTTTTGCTTCTTATAGAAGGAGAGAGAATGTTGGTTACTAGGGGCTGGAGGCATAAGTAGGGGGAATTTGAGAGAAGTTGGTCAAAGGATACAAAATTTCAGTTAGACAGAAGGAATAAGTTCAAGGGATCTATTGTACAACATGGTGACTATGGTTAATAACAATGTACTGTGTTGTATACTTGAAAATTGCTGAGATTATATTTTAAATGTTCTCACCACAAAAAAATGAATATGAGGTAAGTGATTCTAATTAGCTTGATTTCACCATTGTACAATATATGCATATAACAAAATATCATGTTGTGTACCATCGATATATACAAATTTTATTTGTCAATTTTTTTTTTAATTTTTTTTGAGACAGGGTCTCACTCTGCTGCCCAGGCTAGAATGCAGTGGTGTGATCATAGCTCACTGCAACCTCAGACTCCTACGCTCAAGCGATCCTCCTGCCTCAGCCTCCCAAGTAGCTAGGACTATAGGCATGAGCCACCACACCCAGCTTTCTATTTTTTTGTAGAGACAGGATCTCACTATGTCGCTCAGGCTGGTCTTGAATTCCTGACCTCAAGAGATCCTATCACCTCAGCCTCCCAAAGTGCTAGGATTATAGGCATGAGCCACCTCACCTAGCCCAATTATAATGTTAATAGATCCATATCTGCTTATGTGACATCTGGCACTGGAGGTAGAAAAGTGAACAGACCCTGCTGACCTCTTAATTAAAATATTTTGCTAATTATAGAAAAACTTGTTTGGTGTGTCTATACCCTGGTTCAGGTAGACCTTAACATACCTGGAATTATCTGATCTAGGCTCCCATCCATGCACAAGAATGACTATTTCTTGGTCACATGTTGGACACTCTAGGTCTAAAAAATAGTCATTCTTCTGCATGGGTAGGAACCCAGACCAGACAGTTCTACATCTGGGAAGGCAATTTAGATCCAAGTGAGGAGGCCCATGTCCTCTCCCCCTCAGACCTGGTCTTCGGCTCACTGGAATCTGCCTTCTCCTTCTCTCTAGCATTGGGCCCTGTGGAAATTGCCCTCCTGAGCATCATGACCTTGCTTGTCCTGGGCTCAATTGCCATCTTCCTGGAGGATGCTATCTACCTATACAAGAACACCCGCTGTCCCATCAAGAGGAGGACTCTGCTCTGGACTAGCTCTGCACCTACGGTGAGGGAAGGCCCTGTAGCTTCCCTTTAGGTGGGACTGGAAAGGAGGCAGGGACCATCCTGAGAATTCCTCTAAACTCAGCAATTCATGTCAGCGAAGAGTTGCCTGCTACTACCACCTCAGGGTAGGGGTTTGTAATCTGATCTCCGCTTGCAATTAGGACCCCATGCTTGGAAGGTCAACAGGCAAAGGGATGGAATGTTCCAATCCCAAGGGCTGCAGAGACAGCTGGAGAACATGTTCAGCCCACCAGCGGCCCCACTCTGTACTCCTCCACCACAGTATTGCCGTTAAAAGCAATCCTCCTTCCTGTAAAGGCAGTTCCTCAGAGTATAGGAGGGAAAGATTTTTTTCCCCACAGGGTCATATCAGGTCTACCCTTATGCTGTAGCCTTTTAAACTCCTCCCACAGCCTTGGTCCTTGGTTTGCTTGATTTAATCAGCTGTTTTTCCAACTGGCAACTTCTTTTTTGAGCCGGGGTCATCTTCTGTCACCCAGGCTAGAGTGCAGTGGCATGATCACAGCTCACTACAGCCTCAAATTCCTGGGCTCAAGTGATCCTCCCCCCCTCAGCCTCCCGAGTACCTGGGGCTACAGGTGCATGTCACCATGTCCTGCTACTTTTTAAATATTTTGTAGTGACAGGATCTTGCTGTGTTACCCAGGCTGGTCTCAAACTCCTGGCCTCAAGTGATCTTCCCATCTCAGCCTCCCAAAATGCTGGTATTATAGGCGTGAGCCACTGCGCCCAGCCCCAGCTGGAAACTTTTAAGGAATGATGCCTCAAATGCATAGGTTTTGTTTCCTTGAGCCCTTGCCACAAAAGGTTTGAGTGGTCTCCCTTGCCTCAAATGCTTCTTGCTCCTCTCCAAGCAGGTAGTGTCTGTGTTCTGCTGCTTTGGTCTCTGGATTCCCCGTTCCCTCACACTCGTGGAAATGGCCATAACCTCGTGAGTGCCCTGGCCCACCCCCAACTCTGGGCTGAGCTTCCCTCTGGGATCCGCTTCTGTTCCCCACTCACTGGGACTCCAGAGTCCGTGTCTTTAATCCCAGCTGATCATGAATCGAGCCCTTCCCAATTTTTGCTAATCCAGGGTTCTTGAACTTCTGGTTCTGTTCAGGGAATGCCTTATTTTGGCACATTCCTCAGTCACTTCTTTATTCCCATAGCCCCAAATTTCCCTCTTCCCCAGTCCTCTGGACCCTGTCCTCTCTCACTCCTCTTGGATGTCACATCCAGGATGCCCAGCCCCTACCATCTTCCCCTCAGTAAGCCCCACCTCTGCCTGCAGACTTTTTTCTTTGGCAGCAAAGTGGTGTCCCTTCAGCTGGGGCCCCCCACCATGTGCTCACAGTCCCACTTCTCTCCCCACCCCAGGTTTTATGCTATGTGTTTTTACCTGGTGATGCTGGTCATGGTGGAGGGCTTTGGTGGGAAGGACGCAGCAGTGAGGACCCTGAAGGACACCCCGATGATAATGCACACAACTCCCTGCTGCTGCTGCTGCTGCCTCTGTTGCCCACGGCTCATGCTCACCAGGTAAGGTGGGAGGAAGGAGCACCCTCGAGACACAGGTTAGCCTCTTCTTGCACGCTCCCAAGAGCCTCTTCTAGCTCTCTAGACCTGCTTCAAGACTCTTGAAATTAGGCTCAAATGGGCAAAGCCATGATGAAAGGGTGGGCATCCCACAGCCAGGACCCACACATGGGCACCAATCCCAGGGAAGATTGAGGAAGGAGAACTCCTAAGTGCCCATCACTTAAGCTCACTGCCTCCTGCACACTTTAGCCTCACCTCCCAAGAAAACTGGACTTTGGGCTGTTTGCTAGCCCTTTCTGCCCATTGTGGTGAATGAGGTTGAGGCCAACACTCCGAAAGCTCTTGCTCAAAAGGCAGCATTCTGGCCTGGAGGTGAGTGGGAGGTGAGGCAGGTTCCCAATGCCCTCAACATTCTGGCTTCTGTGTCCCCATCCATTTAGTCATTTTGGTGTCTATGATGGCAGCCAAGCCTCAGCCCTAGAGCCCAGTGAGGGAGCTGGGAGGTCTTCATGGGATGGGTGGTTTGTGGGTCTGTGTTCCTAACCCTCTTCTCTCCCCAGGAAGAAGCTTCAGTTGCTGATGTTAGGCCCATTCCAATATGCCTTCTTGAGGATAATGCTGACCCTGGTGGGCTTGTTTCTCATTCCTGATGGCATCTACAACCCAGCAGATGTAAGCCACGAGTAAGGGGCGGCAAAGTCCAAGACTCATTTAGTAGGAATGGCTGGAGCCAACACTTCTTGACATAGAGCCCCAGGGCTGGGTGGCAGTGGAAAAGTAGAGGCGCAGGGACTACAGTGGGGAGAGACAAAACTGGAATAGGCCAAGGTACTGGGGCTGTTTTATTGCTTTTCCCACCATGGAAGAGGAGTAATAAAAGGACAGGGCTTGCCTGCCTCACTGACTACTTTCTGGTCTGCCACCAGATTTCTGAGAAGAGCACAGCTCTGTGGATTAACAGTTTCCTTGGTGCGTCTACCCTGTTCGCTCTCTGGACCCTGAGCATCGTTTTCCGTCAAGCTAGGCTGCACCTGCGTGAGCAGAACATGGGAGGCAAATTTATTGTATTCCAGGTAACTATACCCTGGGAGAGAAAAGATGTTTAATAATAGAGCTAGAAAAGATTGGGGTTGGGAGGTGAGGCCAATAAAGGGTAAAAGCTGGGTCTGGGGATCTTCCTCTTAAGCCTCATGTTTCCCATGAGATTTGGAAAATGATCCTTGCTCTTTCCACTTTTTTGCTTTTCTATGCTGCAATAGTTTCCCAGGGCTGCTATGACAAAATACTGCAAACCAGGTGGCTTAAGACAACAGAAATTTATTGTCTCAATGGTCTGGAGGCTGAAGGTCCAAAATCAAGGTGTCAGCAGGGTCATACTCCCTCTGAAACCTGCAGAGGAGTCTCCTTCATTGCTTCTTTCTAGTTTCTGGTGGTTGCCGGAAATCCTTGGCGTTCTTTGGCCAGCATTTGCATTGATCCAATTTCTGCTTCCGGTGTCACGTGATGTTCTCCCCTCAGGTGTCTGCGTCTCTGTGTCTCTTCTGCTATTTTTATGACACCAGTCATGTTGGATTGAGGACCCACCCTATTCCATTATGACCTCATCTTAACTAATTACATCTGCAACAACATGTTTCTAAATAAGGTCACATTCTGAGGTACTGGGGGTCAGGATTTTAACATATCTTTTTGGGGAGCATAATTCAACCTATAACATGTGTGTTATGAAACCTTCTTAAATTCTTCTACCCTTGCTTTTTCCTTTCCTTTTCTACTATTACTTCCTAAAATTCTATAAGCCATCAACACCAGCAGCAGCATTATCATAACCACAACTATTCGCTACCTACACCATGTGCTAGGCACTTTCATGCCTTACATTTAAAGTTGCCCAATAATCCCAGGAGTCATTATTATTCCTATCTTACAAAGGAGGAAACTGAGACCTAGAGATGTTATGAGACTTGCTCAAAGGCACATAAGGTATGGGATTAGAATTTAAACCCACGTTCCTTCTCATTACACCACCTCTTCATCTTCACACCTCTCCTGAAAATTCTCTCAAAGGCACATTTGTCCACCTTCTATACTTTGCATTCTCTAAGCCCAAGATGACTTTTCCATCAAATGTAATGACTTGTCACCCAATCTTGTTTTCCTTCTCTCTCCATTCTTTCTGTCTCTTTGTTGGGCTCTGCTACTCCCAAGCCATAATGACTGCTTTATCATTAAGAGAGTGATTTCACATGCATTCTCATTTGATCTAAGCAGATGCTTCCAAAATGTGAATTTCCAAGCACATAGTAGTTAGAATTGAAAGGGCCGTGAGAAGAGAAAGAGAAGTTCCTGAAATGAAGTCAGGGAGTAAGGGGTAGAAAGGATCTGGGTCCTAGAAGCACCTGGGGTCAGACAAAAGGATAAGAGCCCTGTGATTGCCAAGCCTGCCCATGATTATTGTGGGGAAGGCTGGATAAGCCAAGTCTGCCTTGAAGAGGTTGATGCTTCAGCAAAATGTACTCAGGGAGGGCGATACTAAGATAAATGGTGCTTCTGGGGCCTTTGCACAGAGATCTCCTCTTCCCTGCTTCTTCTCTTCTTTCTTTATTGTAGCAAAATATGCATAAAATTTACCCTCTTAATGACTTTTAAGCATACAGTTCTGTGGCATTAAGTACATCCACACTGTTATACAACCATCACCACCATCCATCTTTGGAACTTTTTTCATCTTGTAAAACTGAAACTCTGTATCCATTAAACACTAATTCCCCTTTGCCCCCTCCCCACAGTGTCAGGCATGGCAGAGAGTTGTCAAAGAGAACTTTAATGATAAATTGTCCATTATTCTAGGAGCAAGGATCTCAGGTACTTGAGCTACATTGAATTATTCTTCTCTAATCATTCACCTTTTTCATCCATCAAGTGCTCATCAGTATCCATGGCTGAGATATGGAAATAAAAATTAGCCCCTTAATCAGGTCTTATTATTTCTTTTTTTTTTTTGAGACAGAGTCTCACTGTGTTGCCCTGGCTAGAGTGCCGTGGCATCATCCTAGCTCACAGCAACCTCAAACTCCTGGGCTCAAGCGATCCTCCTGCCTCAGC